CACCCCGACAGCGGCCTCTGCTGTCACACACCGTGCGCAACTATCACGACAGCGTGGCCGCGCGCGCCTCCTCGACCCCCGCCAGTGACATACCCTTTCCCCTCGCCGCTGCCGCCTCTGAGGTCATGCGAAATTTATAAATGACCCGCGTAATTTCTGCCCATCCCGTAGCCGCCAGGTGTCCCTGGTGGCGGCCTAGCCTGCGGCCAGGCCGCCCCTCACGTGGCCGTCAGTGTACGCCGTGTCCCCGTTGCGGCCTGGCCTGCGGCCAGGCCGCCCTTCACGTGGCCGTGACGTGTACGCAGTGTCGCCCCCGTGTGCTCAAAATTTGTTTTCCTGCGAAAAGACACATCGGAAAAAATTGAAAACATTAGGCGCACCAATCCCAACGGCGGCTTCTACAGACCATACGGCGCTGTCGACAGACTCGCTGCGCGGGGATATGAGAGAGTTGTGGAAGCTCAGGAAACAGTACGGCGAGGGTGTGAAGCAGCTAAGGGAATGTTTGTGTCTACACAATTTATGCTTTTTGGAGTCCCTCATTATATCATTGGACCCCTAGCCCAGAACCATGGTTCTGGGCTAGGGGTCCAATGATAAGAGACGTATTCGTGAAGTACTGCTTTTCTTCAAGAATACGTGTCTAGTCCCTCTGAAACCCTACCCCTGCATTTCTTCTCCTTTCACTCACATTTCACTTTTACCTTCTCTGTGTATGGAAAATGGCAGGCCCTTCCAAACATTCCGGGAAAGCCGGCACTGCGATATAAACTCGGGCTGGCAAGAAACGCCGGGAACTGCAGCCTACTCCGCCGACACTCAAGAACACCAGCGACGTTTCCGAAACGGACACAGATTTGGAGAACGCCCCTACCGCTGTACTTCAAGAGGAGCGTATGCGAAACAAGAAACTCAGGAAGGGTAGGCAGAATGTGCGAACTCCAGTTCTCAGTCCTCCCTCTACTCCCCCTTCTCGATCTCAACACACGGCTCAGAGTCCCCCTGCGCGTCCGTGCAGGATATCTCCAATTTGCAAGAGGAAGTTTGAAACCCAGCGACGCCTATTGGATCCCCGAAATCGCAACACGACTGACAACCTTCATCCTCGACAAGTGTCAGCGGCACCTGATGTATCCGAGCTGAGAGCAAATGCCTCTGGTCGCTCTGCGGCGGCTGCTACAACAGTACACGGGTTGACAAGCTCCGAGCTTGTCAAACCGTGTACTGTTGTCGCAGCAGGGTCTACTCCGAAGACGAGTACAGCGACAAAGTCGGCCGCCGGCCCTCGTCGTGGCTTCACCCTACGCCGCAATTCCCAAGTTTGTGAAGCGGGCTGTGTTGCCACTCTTCCAGACCCTCCACAAACAACAGCAACAAAAACAACAACAGCCAACGGCACAGCGCTACGGAGTGTTCGAAGCTCCCTGTCCTCTTTAAGCGGGTTTGCGGCCAGCAGTAGCTCGGATCCCTGATAGAGGGGCAAAGAGAAGGGCCCAGCCCGGGATCGGTAAATGGTGGTAGAGACTTGTAAAGGCGACTGCTCGACGAGTTCGGAGGGGTGTCTAGGTAAACTTGGTCCGATGGGTCGTAAATACAATGCTCGAAGAGCGCCTTGTACACCTTATACCCTTGATAAGGTCTTCGACGGGGACATGGCAACGTAGCCCGTCGGGAAGGAAGAAAACGTAGCAGCGCTACACCGTCGTACTGCCCGATGGCAAAGTACCAACAACGGATCGGTCGCAACCAGATTCCGATGGAACCAACGCTGAGAAAAGCACCACTGGTGCACCAACACAGAAGCCCGATGGCTATTGACGTCACGTTGCGGATCGCAATCCTATAAGGTGGGACCAACTCAAGATCAAGGGAAATTAGGATAGGGAAGTAAAGGAAAATTGATAAGGAAGAAGGGGACCCCCGAGCGCAAAGGATATCGTAGGCTAGAGTAGAAGGGATTGTCCTGTAAAAGACGGACGTCGACCAAGGCGATATCAAACTCTGGCAACTGGGGTTACCTTTACTCACTTGGGTTGGTAACTGGACTATGCTATATAGCCCGGCCGGGGCGAGTACAGTAGCTCCCGGCTCTAAATTCTAGATCTAATTTGTAAATAGAATTAAATAATTAAAATAATCGTGCGCATCGTTGCACACGTGTGTCCTCCAGCCCGGACCACAGTATCCAATTAATTTCCTTTTTTCACTTCCTTTCACCCCCCTACCCAAGACGGGTATTGCACTACACCCTTCTCAACTTTTTCGCCATGCAAAAGATGTACGCCACTCTACGCGAGATGCCTCACAGCCTCTTGTAACCCAGCCGGCTGTGACTTCGGAGAATGGAGGATGTCGAGAACGAAAATTCTGAACTTCGCGCCGAGATTGCCCAACTGAAGCAAAGGGTAAATGAATATAAGCGGATGGTCTCGGAAGCGGATCAAGACCGTGAATGCTTACAAATTCTTAACAGAGCAGCCGTATCTGACCTTAAAACTTCCAGAGCGGAGACGGTAACTCTCCGTATGCTAAATGAAAGTTTGAAAGCCTCCCAGGATATTAATATTGCTTCAAGAAGGGGTGCTCGAAGCACTAATGGTTCCGGAACCGGGAATCCGATATTTGAGATCAGCGTAGATATGACGTTTGTCGGGATTGCAGAAGGGGTTATCAGGCAGATGCTGGGATGGGCCCAGAGGGAAGTGTCTGAACTCAGACCAGAATTGATTCTTCCGGCCCGTAATTGGCGCAACTGTGCAGAGACCGGGGCTGAAATGGGTATCCCTTTTGTTGCTGGGAGCGAGGAGATGTGTATTGCTTATCCTCTACTACTTCTGGCTGGAAGGAGGGAATACTGCAATCCTTCTTTCAGGGATGAAAAAGATATTTTTTCTGGCATCGTCCGCCAAGCCCTTTCCTCTCCTCGCTGGACCTCTGTGTTCACCACGGATTGCGTGAAGAACGAGTGCGAATTTCCTTGCTGGAAGATAAGTTCATGAGAAAAAGATGAAGCAGACACTGTCGGATGCGCGGAGTAAGAAGAAGAGAGATGCTCGGGACAAGTTGTTTCGGTCCCTAGGTTACAGTATGCTTTTATCCAGAAAGAGCTCCATAACGCCCGGCTTTGAGATGGAAGAGAAGGTCCAGCAGAAGGAGGATGCCGAGAAGAAGCTCCTACAGAATGTCGAGGGACTTGAAACTCTGGACATGTCCTGGTGGCGTATAGCGACTGCAGAGGAGCTGGCATGTGAAGGCCACATCGTGACGCTTCGCCTCCAGGAACCCGTCGAGGGCGATTTATTCTTCAAGAACGCAGCCGCAGTCCAGGTAATAGAGGCATTCTTGGGTTTCGCTCCAGTCCTTGAAGACGGAATCGTTGTCCAGAGTTCCATTCTCTACTTGGCACGTCTTGATGCTTGGATAGCCACAGTGGCGAAATGTCTGGGTATCCCAGAAGGTCGAGCGGGACAGCGCCAGCGCACGTTCAACGATTATTACCACTCCTTCCTCACGCTTTCCGTCGAGCAGATTCTTGCAAAGGTCTGTGACTACGTCAGTGAAAAGTACCCTGAAGAGCTGCACCTAGACTGGAGGTCTGAGAACCCAGTGGTAAGCACTGACAGCCAAACAAGAGTGGCAACTTCTGTCTTGGAGGTTCCCTCTACGAAAAAGTACCACATCGCCATTCGTCCCGACTGGTTCAATGAAAACGTATCAGCTATCCTGGGAGACGTATTAGATTGCTACATCGCGGAAGCACCGTGTGGGGGAGGACAATTGAAGTTAATGGGACAGAGGGCACAGGAAAGGGGACCTGCGGTCGGCAGCGATGACTCACGGGAGCAAGATTGGGGGGAAGGGGCTCTCGAAAGCGGAGGAGAAGGTGTTGGAGGTGGTGATGGATTGCGTGGACGTGCATGAGATTTGGGTGGCGGAGGCGATGGTGGGGAAGGTGATTTAACGCATGCAGTCGTTTCAGCAGAGCGGGCCATAGGCGCCTGGAGAGGGGCGTCGGTGTTTTTTGTTGATACAGTAGAGTAGAACGGGCTTGAGCGGTGTGGTGCAAGGAACTATGACTCTTGTTTCACTGTGAGGCTAGCGGACGAGGCTCTAATAAGGGGCGGCGGCGGAGGCACCGAGCCGCTGTCTATCTGGGTGACACCTGTGGTGCGTGTGGGTGGTGTCCTAGGTGTGTGTGGTGTACATGGGAATCATGACATGCGGAAAATTTATTTCGTTCAGGCGCCTGCGGGCGGGGTGGCGTTTGTCAAAATGAGTGTTTGGGTAGACGAGCCGACAGACGCTTTGCGCGGGGAGACGAGCACAACACCCACTGCGCGGACGGCGGGTGCTACGACTCGCGCATGAGGAATCGGTGGAGTGTCGTGGTCCTTCGTTTCTGACTGCCTCGGTTCCTTTTCCGATGGCTCTGCACATCCCCGCTACTCCCGAGTACCCCCTTCGCACAGAGACAGCCCCTCCTCGGTCTCCTCGAGACAACCACAACGATTCTCGGCCATGCGTCAGTGCTCCACTCCGCCAGCATCGGGGAAGAAGCTCACCAATTACCCAGTCCCAAGTCAAGGCGCCGTCATAGCTCCCCTGCCACCCCCGCTCATTCCAGATTCCAACTCCGTGTAAGATTTGTTAGATGACGAACAAGAAGACGCGAGAGCGTCGTCATTTGTCATAAACAAACACGGACACAGCGATGGGTTAGGTCGCGCCCAATGAGATGCTGATGATCCACGGCCTGGTGTTGATGGTGTGCGGGCCGCTGGCGTTCCATGGAACGCCTGCAGGCGTCCGGTTTTCAGGAGAAAACACTATCGGCCATCTATGTGGGCAACGGCGGCGCCGTGGTGAGCTTCCTCCTCGCCGTAAGTATGCGCGACACGACGCTGAAAATGAAGCAGGCGGGGTACAAGGTCATGATGGCGTACGTGCATCTCGCCGTGGTGTACCCTATGCTGATTGGCGGCGCCGCCGGGCGGAGGCTGTCAAAGGCGTTGGACAACCCCGACAAGGCCAACCTCAAGCCGTACCTCGGGATGATCGTCGGGATTTCTGCGCTCACTGCAGTTGTTCTGATTCCGCTCAAGCCCAAGCGGGAGAAGGTCAAGGTAGAGGACGCCGAGCGGGAAAGCAAGACAGAGAAAGAGGGGGAGCCGGTGACGGTTGCGGAGAGCGCAGCGGGGATAACCAAGCGTAAGGCGCGGAAGGCGGCGGGAATGTGAGGCATTGGAGCTGTCGGGACGTGATGTTGGCGAGGGGCGTTGCGCGGGGGAGAGCACTGCTGTACTTCTGAGGTCTGCTGAGGTCTGCCGAGCTGTATTGGATGCTGAAGATGTCGTTGTCCTCACTGCACATGACGATGTTTTGATAAAATCTTTGCACATCCATCGTCAACGGTTGACGCGATCGTCATGCGCCGCTTTTCCTGCATTCCCATCGCCCAACCCTCTGAATTAGATTATGCCTTCTGCACCGCCCCCCCGACCATACTTTTCCTGTTCCCACCACCGCACCCCGGCCTCGTCGTCCGCTAGCGCGGCCACGAAGACTACCCCCCCTTCACTTCCTTTGCCGCGGCCACGGCCCACGCCCTCCGCGTGCAAACCAGCCTCCCCTCCCCGATCCACCCGGAGCAACCCCCCTGGGACATTCACGCCCTGCAGCTCCTCAAGAAGCTCTCCAAGCGCGACGGCACCACCAAGCTACGCGCCCTCGCGGACCTCACGGCTCACCTCGCCGCGCCGCCGCCCGCGGCCGGCCCGGGCTTTCGTCAACACCTGGGACCCCGCTTTCCGCGTTTCTGCCCGATCAGACCCGAGCCCGCCGTGGGGGCCGCCCTGCTCACTCTCATGCACCAAGTCGTGCGCTACTTCCCCCGCCCGGTCCGGCACATCTTCCCCGATGTACTCCCCGTCTGGCTGGCCGCCACGGGTGACGTCGCCCTCTCCGTCGCCCAAGTCGCCGTCCGCACGCCAGAGGACACGCTGGCCACCCCGGTGCAGCGCCACAACGTCGTCGCCCGCTACGCGGACGACCGGCGCGCCTACTGCGCGGAACTTGTCGACAGCCTCCCGCCCACCAACGACTCGCACCTCTTCCTTTCCGACGCGCGCGGCCTCACCGCTGTACTCATCTGGCTAATGTCGACGGCCCGCTCGCCGCGTGTCGTCGCACCCGTCATCGACGCCACCCCAGATCCGCTCATGCTCCTGTCGCGCGGACCGAAGCAGAAGCGTACCCGCCCCTCTGACCCGCATCCCGCCGCCGCCCTGCCGGAGGCCTACCAGCTCGCCCTGGCCGTGCTGCCGCATATACGTCACGACGTGCCCGAGGATAGCCGCCGCGTAGACCGATTCACCGCCGTGGCCTTGCTGGGCATTCGCAAGGGAGAACCCATCGCCTGGGCAAAGGACCGCAGCTGGAGAGCATCTTCGTTGATGCTGCCAATCGGATGCACAAGAAAGACAGTGTTCATGCGCTTTCATTTGTGACGACAGCGTCTGATCCCCAAGTGGGGGCATGCATGCCTCTCTCCGTGCGTTTCTGTGTCGCGGAAGTTGCTTAAAGTCTTTTGAATGATCTTTGTAAAACCTGTTCACGTAGAATCGATGGTAGATCCAGTGTAACGGTTGAAAAAATGGTTGAGCAGGGAAGTCCTGCCTCACTACGTGAACTGTGCCCATCACAAAAGACGCCTTCACGATGCCGAACCACGGCGAAACTGTCAAAATGTCCCTCCTTTGTGCGTCTTTGAGCGCAACAGGAGTGAGAGTATTATCCATGTTGTCATCCGAGGACCACCGTAGACATAGACATCAGAACACTTCGCCAACTTTGTCCTGCGGCGCAATGCAGTCCATGTACTGCACGAACATACAGCAACGTTCTCCTGTGATGTCTGGAACCGTGAGTCGCACAAGAGCAAGGACTTTCGGGATCCACAGAGTGCCTCCTTCAGTTGTGGAATCTGAAATAGTAACGCATGAGAAGAGGGACTTACGTGAGGCACCGAACGACCCGGTAGCAAATATTCTTTGCAACGTGTGTCTCCAAATAGTTTCAGAGTGCAACGTTTCGGTCTCTCTGTCGAAGTCATCCAGCGTGGGAATGTACCCCCCATCACATGCGCAGACTTAATCATGGTGAGACGAACGTGAAGGGCGTGCGCCGTAGAACCAAGTTTTGAAACTTCCTCCTCAATGAGCGTCACAAAATTGTTCGCGCCCTGGTCTCCAAGCTGAAGGAAAAGCCCATTGCATTCCTGCGGATGATTGCCCCGAAGCGGCTGCAGAAGGCTTTCATGAGGTTGTCCCTCTACATCTTTTACGAACGGTGCGGCTGCCTCGCAAGTCGTCTTGAAATCTAATAGATTGAGACGACGCCCATCCCGGACCAAATTAGCACCGTCTTCTGGTCGGAGAGTCCTCGTTTGTGCAGAGCGGGCTGACGACTGGTCAAGGCTCACACGTGCTAATTCTATATTTCTGTTTTCTTTTATGCATCTGAAAGTTTCTTCCATAGCAGTTCCTTTTCTTCTTGATGTCTGGCAGTAGCTCTGTTTAAATAAAAGATGAGAATGCTCGAAAACACCAGAATCGCAGTGCTGCAAGCCCCATGGCACGTATATCAGAACCGAGGTGATCAAGAAGATGGAATTTGAATGTCTTCAAGCCGGAGACGTGGTGCTCCGCAAATATATGCCTAGTAAATTCTTTGAACGTAGAAACTGCAAGTTCTAACCGTTCTGTTTCTCTCTCCTTCCATTCTGGGAAGAGGGTGTACCTCATTGCCCAGTGCAGGGTGTCTGAGTACTGGGTAAAGATGGACGTAACGGAAGCAGATTGTGCTTCATCACAGCACCGGTGTATGAAAGCTCCGATGAAAGGGAACACCATGTCAAGGACACGGTAGTCTTTTGCTTCCAGCATACCTCGAAGTCCCTCTGCTGTGTAATTCCGTTCAGGTATTGTCGTTTGTCTCCTTTCGAAAAGTCCACATGGAGACCAGGCGCGTAGTAGTTGCGTTCGATGCCGGCAAGAATGGCATTAGCGCCTGCAAGAATCGATTTGGGCGCTGTCTTCAAAGCTTCTTGGTCTTCCCGATATCGTACCCTTCGTCGTTATGAGTTGCTCAGAGTTAAAGCGGTGTGCCGCGCTTATCTTCATGAGTTTGGAAATGCCGAGAATTAGGTTATGCAGTGGCTCGAATGAGAAGATGGAGTACATATCGATTGGCGCGCCTTTCGGAAGAAGCGAGCTGGATTCCAAGAAGGAAGGCACCTTGTAGAGGGATAAACGTGCGATAACATACTTGGATTCGAGTCGGGCTTCGCGAGACCTTCTCGGTCTGTTCCCTGACGCATGTTGTACTTCCGCCTCTCTGAGACCGGCTGACAGCTCTCGTGCGTAAGTCGTGTCCTGTACCTTGCGGACAGGGTACGTTCTCGTCGAGGCGAGTTCTCCGCAAGGTACATAGCACCGATGAAAAGGAAGTTTGGTGATGGTTCTAGAAAGGACTGCACTCATGTCGTTGCCTTCATTGAGGTCAGAACAGTAGTTGTAAAGGATTGGATTACATGTGAGAGTGGTGCCATTGCTGTCTTTGCAAAGAAAGCCGGTTTGGGTAACATCACAGAGGGGAGCAAGCATATGTTTCATAGCTTTATGCAAAACGCTCGTTCGATGAGCACGACTACCTAAGCTGGAATTAAGAGGCATTTCATCTAGGGTGGAGTCCTTCGTGCAGGGGCTGACGTCGACAGGGAGGAGCCCAACGATGGTGCTCCCAGCATTGATGCAACGGTATCGGAAGCGAGCAGAGAAGTTAAGCAGAGTGATGTGGACAGGATAGGCAACAACGGCTGAGGTCTTCAGAGTGGTGGAGCTCTTGTATGTATAAAGCTGGATGAAACCAGCGAAAGACTGGGGCCCCGTGGTGGGAGTGTCATTCTGCACAATTTAGTCGCGAACGGATCCCATTACGGCTTCTCGGACGAATTGGTGCACAGCACGAGCAGTCGCGTTTCCAGAGGGTGAGCGAATACCTCGTTGCCGTCGGCGTCCTTTTTCGTTACGGGAGAGTACAAAGTATTTTTTGTGTTAGCCAAGGACAGTTGCTTCTGAAGGAGCTCCATAGGGTCCCGAATGTAGACAGTACTTGAGCACGTACCTGCATCGTCGATTATGTTCACGGTGAAGAACCCATTGTGAGCAAGCTGCTCATCAACGAGTGAGGTCGTAAGGGTTCGATAGTCGTTTTTAGTGCATATAGAGCTGTCAAATTTCGAGATAGAGAACGCCGGTTCTTTGAGTATGGAGATTACTTCATTGATGGCGGAGGCACCGACTTTGCGCCCCAGCTCTGTGAAGGAGACGGCGAGGGCCCGTATCAGAAAGTTTATCCGTGCCTCTGTCGCCGACAGCACAACCTCGTTCCGGTCCACCGCCGAGCCCAGCGGGCTCTGCGGCGGGGTACTGGCACGCATTGATGCTTGGCGTCCAAAGGGGGCGGTGTGCCACGGCTCCTCGACATTGCTAAATGCGCCGTTGTCTTGATGCTTCGATGAGGTGTTGGCAGTAGGTGGAACAGGGAGTAGGAGGCGGAGGTGGTGTAAAGACAGCGCGGGAACTTGCACTCCGGAAGAGAAAGAGCCATTGTTGAGTGTGATGGAGGTGTTTGTGGAGAGCAACGAGGGAGGGAGGAGGAATGACCCGGTGAGGTACTATAACAAGCGGGGCTCCTCTTAAGGGAGAAGCAAGCAGAAGTCTGCGACATATGATGAAAAAGACCGAATATGAGTGCAGAGAGTTGATACTACATCAGTAAAGAGGTGATTCCGGATGGCCCAGGTTGCCATTGCTTAAATTTGGGTTCCATTTTTTGAAAAAAGGCGTAAAGAAAGAAATTTCGGCCCGTGTTTCGTGGGTTCGTTGGTGTCAAGGACGGTGAGGATGAGAAAGATCTCGTTGGCTGAGGCTTCGAAACGCGATCTTTCCTCCGCCCCGCACTCTGCGCCCCGCCCCGAACCCCCGCTCCCGCGCCCGCCCAAGGAGCGCAGCCCCAAGTCCACACGCGTGTCGGAGATCGTCTTGCCGCCCGTCGAACGCCTCTCGGATAGGGCCTCGCCGAGATCCGGCGCTAACAATAATTTGAGCAATGAGCACCCGTACGAATTTGGAGGGATTTCTATGCAGTATTTCCTCAACCTGCAAGAAGTCCTTGGGTTTCGATGTATTTCTGTTGATACAGACAACGGAGGCGATGAAGGTGTGCCGTTCAATTCCATCGTAGAGAAAATGGACGGATGTGCAACTGATGAGGGAACGATGCGAAAAGATCCAGATTGCAATTGGGACATGGCCGTTAGGGGCTGGCTGCAAAGTGATGCTGGCCTCGGCATGGTTGTTGACTTTCTTCCACCATTCCTTATTGATGGAATAGGAATCGCAACACACATAGACGAGACTTCTGTGGCCTCTGCCGGTGCTTCGTTTCTCACAGCTTTCTCGTTGGCAGTGTAGGGACTTGTGGTGATGCTCGCAGAGGTGTTTACGTTTCTTAAAATTCTTGACAGACGCTTTGTTCCTCCCGACGATTCATACACGCTGCTTCCGGCATCCGAATCTCGAGTTTGAAGAATTTGACAGTATTTCCTCAGGAGTCGTGTTCCTCACCGGCTGAGAAAAGCACTTCGGAGAACTCGTAAGTATTACAAGTGATGTACAGAGGTTTTTTGTGTTCTTGCACTAACCCACCGCTACGATGTTACACGTAAACGTAATGATCGTTGCTAATAACAGTCAGTCCAATGGTTGGCGTTGGCAATTCAGACCCTGCTAACGAAAAGAAATCTTTGCGGCAATAGTTTTTGAATTTGCGCATAGCTTGTTGCAGCCTTTTCATAATTTTGGCTTTGAATCATCGATGAGGTAAGTGGCTTTCCAGCTAACGGCAACACGAAAAGATGAAGCCAAAACAAGCACACACACGGTTGATGTACCAAAGCCGACTAACATAATGCAAAGATCGCGACATTTGTCGTGCAAAACAGAGCTACACTTGGTCAGGGCAAAATCGAAGCCAAGTACCGAACGTTGTAAGACCTTCAAAACTGTCATGTAGAACCGTGTTCTGTGTGCATGCCGAGAGGAGGTGCGATGCAAACGTTTTGGGACACAGTAGTTGCGTCACAGTACGTTTTGCCTTTTCACTATCATGACTATGCGTTCAACCGACAAAGCGCAGTGACAGTAACTAAAAAAATAACAGCTCTTGTCACAAAGAATACAATGACGGGCCAACCTTCGTTGACTCGTACAAAGAGCGAGCAAAAAAACTGTCCGAGAAGACGTGCACGTTTATGATGACGGCGATATCATCAGGAACGAGCCGGTTTCAGGGTCGGTGTCGGTACTGTGTGGTGAGGGCAATGAAGAGCGGGCCCCGTATCCGGACGGGGGCCTCATTCCTACTACCGCGTGGGTCAAACCTG